TGGGACGCGGCCTCAGCATGGCTGGAGAAGCGGTGCGTTGGTGCGCGCCGCATCCGAACCTGGGCCGCCAGTAGCGGAGCGCGTGCACTTAACCGCTAAGCCATGAGGCCTGCCCGGAGTCATCCTTGACTCTTTTTTTCTCTTACCTATATCCAGTACATCAGAAACTCTTATCTATTTATTATAAAAAATCGATTATTACTTATTATAGATAAGAGATTATGTCTATAATCCACATCTACCACTACCACTCTGGTTCAAGACCATCCTCCTTTGTCCGAATTAAAGAACTGGTCTCTTAACTGGCCTCCCTGCTTCTACACTTGCTCTTCTACAGTCTAGTCTATTTTCCATAAAGCAGTCAGAAAGATCCTTTTAAAACATAAGTTAAATTATGCCACCCATTTATTCAAAACTTCCCAAAGCCTTTCTGTATTATTCAGAGTATAAGCCCAAGTCCTTCTGATGGCTAAAAGTGATGTGCAGCACTCCCCCTCCCCCACCAACCCTGCCTTCCTACCACTCCCCTCCTCCATCACTATGCTACAGTCACCTTGGCCTCTCTGCTTTTCCTGAAGACGGTAAACATGCTTGTCCTCAAGGCTTTTGCCTTTGCATTTCCCTGTTCTTAAAACTCTGTTCCTTCAGGGACTTACATGTTTTGTTCCCTCACTTCCCTCAGAATTCTGCTAAAATGTCACCTTATCAGAGAGGGTTTCCCTAACCAGCCTGTATAAAGTCCTTCCCCGCAACCATCGTTCTCCATTGCTCTTGCTCTGCTTCATTTTTCTCACTAGTACTCATCATTTCCCGACAAATACTTCTCTATTCGTCTCTATCCACTGGAATGGAAGTCGGGAAGGCAGGGATGTTGTCTGTCTTTGTTTTTTGTTTTTACTATTAAATCCCCAACACCCAGGAAAGTGGCCAGCATATAGTTAGTTCTCAATAACGAAGAATGAAGAATGATGGTGGTATGTATCAGAACAGTAAGAGTGGAGATGTGTGGCAGCCAGCCTCCAAGACGGCTCCCAACAATCCCTGCCTCTGCTTTTCATGCTCTTGTATAAGCCCCTCCCACAGTGATTAGAGCTGACTGACCTGTGTAACCAATGGCAGCCATGGCAATATGTGTTTTCCAAGCCTAGGTCATAAAAGATATCGCGGCTTCCACCTGGTCCACTCTCTTGGAGTGCTCGTGCTGGGGGAAGTCAGCATCCTGTCATGAGGACGTTCAAGCAGCCTGTGGACAGGCCCATGTAGGAAGGAACAGTGCTCCTGCTAAGCAGCAGCAAGCTTTAGAGAGAACTATCTTGGGAGTGAACTATCTTAGGAGCAGATCTCAAACCCTAGTCAGGCTTTCAGGTGACTGCAGCCCTGTCCAATGTCTTGACTACAACTTCAAGAGAACCCCTTGACTATGCTGCTCCCCAATTCCTGACACAGAAACTGTGTGAGAGGGGCCACCCCCGTGGCGTAGCAGTTAAGTGCGTGCGCTCCGCTGCTGGTGGCCCAGGTTGGATCCCCGGCGCCCAACGGCACATGGCTTGTCAGGCCATGCTGTGGCTGCGTCCCATATAAAGTGGAGGAAGATAGGCACGGATGTTAGCTCAGGGCCAGTCTTACTCAACAAAAAGAGGAGGATTGGCATGGATGTTAGCTGAGGGCTAATCTTCCTCACACAAAAAAAACAACTAAAAAAAAAAACTGGGTGAGATAATACATGTTTATTATTGCTAAGCTGCTAAATTTTGGAATAATCTATCATGCCATAGTCGCCATGATCTCTTTGCTGGTTCTTCTCTGGACTTTTGCACCTGCTTTTCCTTCTGCCTAAAACTCCATTCCCTCAGAGAGTTGCATGTCTTAATCTCTTACTTCCTTCAGGTCTCTGCTAAAACGTCATGCTATGCAGTTATGCAGCAATGCAGCAGTAGATAACAAATACAGGATGTGTGTCAGATATTCAGGAGGTAGATGCAACAGGATTTAGCAACTGATTCGATATGAGGAATGAGAGAGAGGAAGGAGCCAAAATGATTCTCAAACTATTGGCTTGTGTAACTAGCTTGTGCCATTCCTGGATTTAGGGAAATAGGTTTGCGGCAGAGATTATAAACTTGGTTTTGGACCTGCTGAATTTGAAATGTCTAAGAGATATCCAAGTAGAGATGTCCAGTATGCAGGCAGATAATACTATTTACAACACAGAAGAGAGATCTGGCTGGCAACAAAGACCCTGGAATCAGGTCAGCTATATAACTTGCAGGGCCCAGCACAAAATGAAAATGCAAGGTCCCTTGTTCAAAGAGCACATGAGGCCGACCAGCTGCTGAGTCTCCATCCCACCAACTTGTAGGACTGACAAACCACGCTCTGGCTGAGGGTGGGGAAGTTGAGTCAGGCATCACCACTTCCCATGGACTCTATGCTCCAACCCACTTTGGAGGGACAACCTACAAGAGATTGCAATTTCCTTGCCAAGGATGCACTTGCGTAGGGGATGGGCAAGAGATTCATCCTTACCAAGTGGCCCACTGGATATAACACGGCACTGCCAGTCCAGGTCAGGGAAGCTGCCACCATGCCTGGTCCTCAGCTCCAGGACCTGGTGGTCCTGGTCCTGGGTGCGGCAAGGTGGAGGAGGGCGGCAGGGCTGAGGTGCCAGGGAATCAGGGGCAGCTGGCAGCTGAGAACCTGTCCCAGGGAAGCAGAAAGGTGGTGGGAGGCAGGCCTGCTTATGAACTGAGGCATGCTCCATTGTCTCATTGGACTTCAGTTACAAAACAAAAATTCAAAGAGAAGGTTATTAAGAATTTCAAGCCAGCAACCGCAGAGCATTAAGACCCCAAGCATTATGTCCTTCTGCACACAGGACCCTGAGTGAATGAACTGTTCGTACGCCCATGAAACCGGCCCTTCTTAGGATAATAAAGTTAAGACTGAATGAGTTCAATAAGGAAAGATGAGAAGAAAAGAGGCCCGAGGACTGAAGCCAGAGAAGCACCAACATTTAAGGGATGGGCAGAGAAAGAGCATCCTGTGGCCAAAAGTTGTAATTCATCAGAAGACCAGTTAATGAGAAAATACTTGTTTTATGATCCCCAACTTGGAAAAGCTTTGCAAATACAGTAACTTGGCCACATATTGTTAGGCATATATATATATATTGTGTGTGTGAGGAAGATCAGCCCTGAGCTAACATCCACGCCAATCCTCCTCTTTTTGTGAGGAAGACTGGCCCTGAGCTAACATCTATTGCCAATCCTCCTCCTTTTTTTCCCCCCTTTTCTCCACAAAGCCCCAGTAGATAGTTGTACGTCATAGTTGCACCCCCCTCTAGTTGCTGTATGTGGGAGGCCGCCTCAGCATGGGCGGACAAGCAGTGTGTCTGAACCCCGTCTGCCAGTAGCAGAGCGCATGCACTTAGCTAAGCCACGGGGTGGCCCCTGTTAGCCATATTTCATTTCACAAACTATTCACGATATAGACAATAATTTTTCAGGGTCAGGTCAAGGGTGTGACTTACATAGGCCCATTACCTTGGTTATTTTTGAAGCATATATTACTCAAATTGAAAAAAAATAATGCATGAGAGAAGCTGCAGGAAATATACGGATTAAAGGAAAGAATGAAATTTACCAATAATCGACTCATAGCTAACCTAAGTAAATAATTCATTTCCCTTCCAGCAACAGTCACCTCTACATATGAGGACGCCAATGTCTCTCTACAACATTTATCAAGTAAGAAAAATGTAAACACTAAAATCTGTGAAGAATTTCAAGTGACTCATTGAAACCCGTTGCAAAATCAACCACAAGAGTTTTCTAACTGCTAATTAACCTTGAGCAAAGTCTTAGGCCATAAAAACTAGACCATTTGGTGAGAGGACTGTGGCAGGGAGTTGATGAGACTTCGAGAGCTTAAAATTGGTGGGAATAAAAGTGATTTTTTTTTTTTTTTTAATAGACTCAGAAATGTCTCTAGAGGTGGTTTATGAAGCGGCTAAGAGCACAGATTCTGGAGGGAGCTGCTCAGGTTTCAATCTCCGCTCCGCCACCCACTCCCTGTGTGATTTTGGACGTTACTCAATTGCCGCCCCGGTGCCTGTGTAAAAGAGTAGTAACAACTCCTAGGGGTGTTATGCGAGTTAAATGATGGAATGTAAAATATTTAGAACTGTGCCTAGCACGTAAAAAGCACTAAATACACATTTGTTAAATGAAAATTGTGAAAACTGATCCTGTAACCAAAATACCGCTGGAATTTCTACTTTAGTAGGTCTCATAAGCTTTGAGAAGTCATTAAAAGAAACAAATCTTTTCTCCGTCTCATTTTTTTCTTTATTCTCCCAACTTTTCTTGCCCCCTATCTTCACAGTACTGTTGTTTTCTCCCTATATTAAAAACAATTTTCTTTATTCAAAAAAGTTCTTTAAGAGATAAATATAGTGTTTCTTGGATATTTTCTTAAAAGTAATCTCATGTCTTGTAACATATTCACGGCTATTTTCCCACTTATGATTGGTCTCAATGTTTTGTTTCTTTCATATGAAAATATCAAAAATAAGTATATGGGAGAATAAAATACACAGATTTAGTGTTATCGTAATAATCCTGATACTTCAGTGGAAAAAAATATAGAAAGTGACAATGAGAAGTATGAGAGAGACAATATAACAAGAATGTCAAATATATCTTCTAGCCCTTTTGAGAAGCCAAAATTGACCCATCTGAATTCACCAGCTCCTTCAAAAGAAGTTCTGCAGACACACAACCCCAGGAACCTGCAGTTTAAACTACTCCGTGTTTTAAAAGCAGAAATGTCTTTGTATTTGTCCTACTGTTCCTTTTGCTCTCCAGGAATGCATTTTTTTCCTTTCTGCTTTAATTTTGTTTCATTACTTTCTTTGTTTTCTCTGGTCATTATAGTATTTTTCACACTGCTTTAGAATAGAGCTTACATCTCACCAAAGCGGAGGTCTTGGGCTTCTTTTGCCTTTTTGACACGGAAGGCTGTTTTCATCGCCCACATGAGCTGCATACCTCGGCGATCATCTTCCGACCACTCCCTGTGTGTGCTCACCCGGGCAGAGGCAGGGGGCGCTTCGCTCGCCTCGGAAACCTCACTTTATGCGAAATCCTCCTGCCTTTGTGAACATGTTTATTTAGATCTTGCTCTCTTCAGCTTTTTCTTCTATTGCTTATTATCTACGAGTTTTGCCTCTTTTCTCTGTAATCTCACTGTCCCCTTTCTCCCCCAGCATACACTTTCCCCTACTTTGGAGTCAAAGGAATTGATACTTTAAGATCCTCCATTGGTTCCACGTCGCCTTTAAGCGCCGGTTCGGACATGCTCGCCTTCAGGGTTCTTCATGTAAGCTGCAGCAGGATTTCCCCCTCTCCAGTAACAGATGTCAAAGCACGCCAGCCCCGGGATGTGTCCATATATGACCTTGGAACAGAATGCTGCCTCGTTTGGGGGCAACATTTGAGGAACCCTGTCCACTCCCATCCTCGCGTGCTCCCGCCTCCCCCTTTTGAGAGGTCACCCGCGTGCAGAACGCAAACGCCAGCTACTCTTTTCTCCCGACTTCCTTCTGAGAGCCTAATAAAACCCGCGGAACTTCAATCATTCCGCAGCGAGCCTCGGCTCTCTCACTGGGCATGCTCAGTGGCCAGGCCCCGCTCGGGTGGCGAGTGGTTGCCTTTGGGGTTGGGCTCGGGTCGGCGATCGCCTCGGCTAGGCTTCCCAGAGCGCGGGCGGGACACAGCTGCCCCTGAGCCGGAGCCGGAGGCGCCCCTCGGTCCCCTGCTGGGCGCAGGGCCCCGCGAGAGCCGCGTCGGGCCGGAACCCGGGAGCCCCCAACTTCGCGCCAAGTTCGGAGCCGCCTTCGGGGGAGGCCATGCAAATGATGACTAGGGACGTTTTGCTAGAAATGGAGCAGGAGGAGGAGGACGACGAGGATGGGGATATCGGTGAGCGAGGGGTTCCCCGGGGTGGGCCGGGGCGGGTCCCCGCGTCCGAGGCGGGAACAAGTTGGGGACTACGCCGGAGCGCTGCACCCTCCGCGGGGGAGGTTTGCGGGGACCCTCGGCGGCTGCTGGGGCGCGCGGGCGCCGGGGACGGGGAGGAGGAAGCCCGCGCCGTGCGCCGTCCGCATTGCGGCCCCTCGCGCCCCGGAGCGGGCCGCCTCCCGGCTCAGCTCCGGGCGCGCCCCGGGCCCCAGGAAGGCCGGGGAGGCGCGGGGTGCGCACGGGCCCCCAGAACAGTTTCTGGACCGGCAAGGGACGCAGCCCCTGCCAGTCACGGTAGACACGGGGACGCCTCCGCGCGCGGAAGTTTTGACTCAGAAGCAACAACTTTTGGTTCATTTCCTCCGTCTAGAAGTAGCGCTGGGGATTCCGGGGAGCCCGCGAGCCCGTAGGCGGGGATCGGGGAGCGGGCCCGGGGTTGGAGAGCAGGAGTGTGACCCAACCTGAATTTTTTTTAAGATGAAAGAGGATGCCCGGCTCTGGGAGGGAGGGTTGGGGCTGGGTGGGGCGGCCGGGGGAACGGATTTGTGGCTGCTGGACGCGGGCCAGATCCTTTTTTCAGCAGCAGAGCTCGCAGGGGAAGTGATCGGACGAGGAAGCCCTTTGACAGAGTAGTCCGAAGGGCATTTCCGACTCGTTGTGGGGCCCCTGGAGCTTGGGGGGCAAGCCTGGGGCTCCCCATTTAGAGTTAAAAATGCACAGAAGCGGTAGACGGACCATTGGGAGAGATGTTTAAGCGTAAAAAAGCAAACAAAAGGGGGTGGGAGGAAGTGAGGAAGAAGAATGGGGGGGAGAAAATCAGGTCCCTAAAGAGAACACTGTCGGGAAATGATGACATATTGGGTCCCTCTAGAAGACTGGCAATTAAATTACCATGCTGGTTTTGTTAAGCAGACTCCGACTCGGTTTCCTGGCTGCCGAATCAGTTTAAAACAGCAGTCTCTGCTTGTGTCCTAAAGCCCTGTTCTTCTCTAATAACTTTAGATGTAACTTAATTTTAGGAGTTAGGTGTGGTTTTTCTTCCTTTCACATTATAGGCCCTGCTCATTTTTTTTTTTTTTTTTTTAAAGATTTTATTTATTCAGTTTTTTCCCCCCAAAGCCCCAGTAGATAGTTGTATGTCATAGATTCACATCCTTCTAGTTGCTGTACGTGGGACTCGGCCTCGCGCTGGACGGAGAAGTGGTGCCTCGGGGTGCTTCCGGGATCCGAACCCAGGTCGCCAGCATCAGAGCGCGCACACTTAACCGCTAAGCCACAGAGCCGGCCCAACCCTGCTCATTTTTAAATCATTTGTTTTTCCAGCTTTATTGAGATATAATTGACACATAACACCGTAAGTTTAAGGTGTATAACCTGTTGATCTAGTACACTTACTCCAAAATGATTACCATCATAGCGTTTGCTAAGATCTCCATCACCTCTCATAGTTACCATTTCTTTTTTGTGGTGAGAACATTTAAGATTTACTCGCTTAGCAACTTTCAAGTATATGATAAAGTGTTACTAACTATAATCACCATGCTCTATGTTAGATCCCCAGAACTTATTTGTCTTATAACTGGAAGTTTGTACCCTTTGATCAACATCTCCTCCTGCCCCCAACCCCATTCTACTGTTTCTGTGAGTTCAGCTTTTTTAGTTTTCACATATAAGTAATATCATACAGTACTTATCTTTCTCTGTCCGACTTATTTCACTTAGCATCAGGGTCCATCCATGTCGCAAATGTCAGGATTTCCTTCTTTCTCATGGCTGAATAATATTCTATTGTGTACATATACCACATTTTCTTAATCCTTTCATCTGTAGACGGACACTTAAGTTGTTTCCATATCTTGGCTATTGTAGCACTGCTCGTTTAAATCTAAAGAACTGGATAACTTCCTTGTTGACCAGGGACAAATTGAATAGAGGGGATTATACTCCATGGTTTAGCTTTACCTTTCATTCATTTGAGAAGAATTTATTAGTTTTCTTTCCTGTGGAGGGAGCAAATAGTAGTAGTCTTTTTTTATAGGAGAGAAAACTGAGGCTCACAGGTTGATCTCCCTAGCTTGTCACAGAGTTACTTAAGATTCAAACTGAGGTTTTCTGACTTGCAAGGCCTGTGCAGATTAATGCACTTACCACCTGGTCACTCCGGCCGTCAGATAATGTATTATGCTACTATTTAGCAGGCTTTAACAGTAAATTATGACTACATAAAAATATAAATCATAGGAGCAAACTTTAAAAAGTCATAATAGGGCCGGCCCGGTGCGTAGCGGTTAGGTGTGCGTGCTCCGGGTTCGGATCCTGGGCAAGCCCCGTCACACTGCTTGTCAGGCCATGCTGAGGCGGCGTCCCACATAAAGCGGAGGAAGATGGGCATGAATGTTAGCTCAGGGCCAGTCTTTCTCAGCAAAAAGAGGATTGGCATGGATGTTAGCTCAGGGCTGATCTTCCTCACAAAAAAAAAAAAGTCATAAAATTAGCAACATCTGTTTCATAGGAAAATACTCTTGTCTGTTATAGTAAAGTGTCACTGTTTATTTTGAGAATTGTAAATAAATAAGGGTGAAAAACCCAAATGGACTTGAGGTAAGCACGAGGCTCTGAGCTTGGTTCCACTGTGCCATCAATAGATCTCAGTTTAGAAAGAAAACTAACTTGGTCTAGTCTGTGTTTACTTGATGAGGCATCATAAAATTCATCATAAGTGTGTGGCAATAGGCTCTTATTTTTAATTACAGGTGTAATTTAAGCTGGTTTGATCAAGTCAAACAGCGTTGATGTATTTAAGAAAAAGGTAAATATGTCTACCTCTCTTTCACCCTGCCCTGCATAGGTACTGATATTAATTCTTTAGTGTATACAGGGGTCAAGTCAACATATTTTATGTCAGGCAGCAGATATCATGTAACAGGTCTCAGCAATTTTTGGTTGTTCTACAAATTTAATGTGGGCTGCAGTGATTGTATATCAAGGGAAAATGTTTACCATGCCAATGGAAACTTTATGTCATGGTAAAATAATAAGCCTTTTAAAAGATTCCCAGAAGTAGGCTGATGGTGTACAGGCCTTTACAAAATAATTTCCAACTATGGGAGAGGAGACTCTGGCGAAATGACAATTATAATTTTAACCTCTGTCTCTAGTTGTGTAATGTAGAGCTATATTAAAGCTGTTGACTAACATATTTCTCCTAGTACTTGATGATCACTACTAATAGTTGTATAATAATTTAAAACCCACTCAAGTACTGAAGATTTCTATCTAATCCCTTTATGAATGTTAACTTTATAATTCAGAGCAGAGAATTATTTTGACACAAGTTCCTGGGTAAAACATCTGACATTATCATCAGCTAATTTACAAGAGACCAAAAGAAAAGAAAAATAAACTTTTTAAACGAGGCGTGGTCCCTGGTTATGTCTAGAGATGTTTTACGTGCGTATATGGAAGTGTGCCCTCTAGTCTCCTGGGATTTAGGGCCCTTTTTTACCAGTGGGTTTCTGCTGACTTTTGAAGCACTATTCACTACTTAAGTCCCAGGGTTGCCTCCTTATTTGGGATGCACTGATTTAGAGAATCAAAGATGGTAAATCTCACCACGGGCGTCTTTTCCGTATTTGAGTAATGCATGGCCACCAGAAATTGTACTCAAAGGTTTTCTAATGAAGCAACCTATTAGCACGAGAGCATTTTTGCAAAAGGGCACTTAGTTTCTAAATCAGCTCCAACAACCACCACAGATGTTACAGCCAGGGAGTAGGGGCAGGAAATACTTGGCTTGTACCCTTTATTGCACTGGGGCCGGTGGAGATCCATGTTGTTCCAAGACCTGGGGAGGCAGGTTCTATGTACCTGGTGTGCGAAGAGGGGCCTTGGCTGCTTTGCTTCCAGGAGCATGTCCCTGTCTCCGCCCCCCCATGCTTCTCCCCCCCAGTTAATCAGTGAATTGAATTCCATCTCTTCCTGTTGATGTAGAAAGTCATAGAAACATTTGTTACAGCCAGAATATAGAAATTATATTTAGTATGCTATTTTATTTTGTTTCTTACATTTCTATGGTTCCAACTTTGCTGAGGGAGGAAAAGTATTCTCAAAAAAGAAGGAAATTAGGGCCGGCTCCGTGGCTTAGCGGTTAAGTGCGCGCGCTCTGATGCTGGCGGCCTGGGTTCGGATCCCGGGAGCGCCCCGAGGCACCACTTCTCCGTCCAACGTGAGGCCGAGTCCCACGTACAGCAACTAGAAGGATGTGAACCTATGACATACAACTGTCTACTGGGGCTTTGGGGGGAAAAACTGAATAAATAAAATCTTAAAAAAAAAAAAAAAAAAAAAAAAGAAGGAAATTATCAGGAGCTAATCAGACACTAGCCAGCCCTGGTGGTCTAGCGGTGAAGATTTGGTGTTCTCACCACTGTGGCCCAGGTTATTTCCCCAGTCAGGGAACCACACCACCCGTCTGTTGGTTGTCATACTGTGGTGGCTGCGTGTTGCTGTGATGCTGAAAGCTATGCCACTGGTATTTCAAATACCAGCAGGGTCACCCACGGTGGACAGGTTTTGGCGGAACTTCCAGACTAAGATGGACTAGGAAGAAGGACCTGGCCACCCACTTCTGGAAAAAAAAAAAAAAATTGCCCATGGAAACCCTATGAATAGCAGCAGAGCATTGTCTGATACAACACTGGAAGGTGAGAAGATGGCACAGAAAGACCGGACAGGGTTCTGCCCTGCCCTACACAGGGTCGCAAGGAGTCGGAATCAACTCCTCAGCACTAACAACAAGTCAGATAGTTCAGGCAAAAAGTTTTTTGTTTAGGTGGTTGGTTGCTATGGGTTTCCAGTCTGTCTGTGGTAGAGCTTACTCTCTCATCCCCACAGCTCAGAGTGGGTCTGAGAGCTTATGAAAGAGGCAGCATCTATAAGGTCTCAAAGACCGATTGCTTCCA